ATCCTCTGCCCCCTCCTGCACCCATATCCCCTCACAGACCTGGCACCCAATCCCCTGCCCCAGATCAGTCTCCTCTTGCCCTAGCTCACAACCCAAATCCCTGCATCCCCTCCTGTACCCCAATTCCCTGCCCTAGATCAGTGCCTCAGGTCAAAATTGCCTCCTTCACCCAAACTCTCTCCCTTACCCCAAGCTCCTTTCTTCTCCCAACCTCCAACCCAGACCCTGCACTTCCTCCATTAATATCATGGAAGAGTGCTGCCCTCAACCACTAGCCAAATTCTTGGAGTGGTCTCCCATCAAAAACTATTGCCCACCCTGGTCATTAACTCTTTTCTTCTTCTTTTAGAACTGACCACTCATCTCTTTTTTCTTGCCTTCCCACCATCTGTTAGTACTTGTGTAATCACCACCAGGCAGTTTTGAATCTGGGACCTCTGGAGCTTAATGTAGGAACCTCTACAGCTCGAGCTAAAAAACGAGCTGGCACTCAGCTTAGACTGTAGTGCCCCCTTGTTCTTATCTCTGGCTGTAAGTGGTCCAAGTGCTACTACATGGGACAGTGAACCACACTAGGTGTGTGGGTTACATCTGCTGGGTCCCTAGGGAAGATTTTCTCTTGCATGGAAAAATATGCAGAAGGTGATTATCTGAGTCATACATATGAAGAGTGGAGGATGAATGACAGCATGGCAGCATAGTTCAGAGGGTATGGTACTGCATGAGGAGTCTGACTAGGGGTTTCATGCCAGTCCCAAGACTGGATAAAGAAGGAGGATGAAGAATTACATAAGAATATACAGCCAAAAGAGAACCTACTGCAGAAAGGTTATACAACAGAACTTATGGCTATTTGGGCATATCTGCAGAATGAACGACAAGCGAAAAGTTAAGACCCTGGTATTCAGCATAATGGATGGTCCGAATAGGAGAGGCAGACCCCACAGAGAATGGGTAGATGATATAGTAGATCGGTGTGAGGCTAGTCTACAGAAACTAAGCCACTCCACACTGGACAGGGAGAGATGGAAGGAAATAGTGAGGGAGGCATCGGACATCAGTTGGCATTGAGCCCATGTTTGTTGATGATGATGGGGAGTCTTGAGATCTGGATTCCATTTCCATCTGTCACAATGACCTTCTGTGAGATCTTTGGCATGGCACTCTCACTGTAAAATAGTGAGAGTAAAATAGTCACACCTATCCAATTTGGTGCAGCACTTTAAGATCCATGAAAAGTGCTGTACAAAAAGTTAAACAAGTACAATTGGCCTTCTTGTGAATTGTGCATCCCTGATGGGGAAGGGTCTTGTTAAAAAAAGTCTATTATTTATAATAAAAATGAATTGCAGTACCTCACAATTATGCTATTTAATTTCTTGATCTGAAAGTGCTTTCTAAAGCTGGGAATCATGATTTCTGTTTTGGAAGAAATGGGAAGCTGAGTGATGAAGCGATCCACCGAAAGTCATATGGCAGGGTGAATGGCAGGGATGGAAACAGAACTCAGACCTCCTGACTTCCAGTGTGGGTGCCAATCCACCAGAGGCCAATGTCTGCTTGGGAAGGCTTTTTTTTCATAACATGCAACATTGAGGAGAACAGCATAGTCATGCAAGCTAGGTGATAAAGATACAGTGCAGTCCTACGAGCTCCGCTCTTTATTGTCTGTGTGTCATTCACTCAATAGAAAAGTCCTTAATATCATCATGACATTCACATGCTATCATTCTGAATTATCCAGTTCCAAAGGCAGTCAGTATATTACATCCTTTGCCAGCGATAATACAGAATTTTCTTGTTGTAATATTTAAAGTGGTGTTCTCGCCACAGACTGGAAATTACTGTTATAACGTTAAAAAAAAAGCTAAATTCTGTGATGCAGTATTATCAGTGCTGTGGGACTGATTGTCTGCCAGCCCTGCTTAGTTGAAAGAAGGAAGCAAAGGTGCCACTGGGTAAAATAAGTAGAAATGTTAAAAACCCATGCAAGCCAGCAAACAAAAACACATACCCCCCCCCCCAAAAAAAACAAACACCCCTAAAACTCAGGTGTCTATTTAGTGGTTGTAAATCTGGTGTTTATTCTCTTTACAGACTGTGAACAGTTGCTTTCATATCTATAATTGGTTGTTTTAGGATAGCTGCTTCATTGGCATCCATTAAAATAATGCTTCTATCAAAGTGTGAAACCAAATCCCAGAGCAACTGCCCTTCAGCTGCAGTCTGATTCATAATCTGCCTGTCTCTAGCTTCCCTCCTACTGCCACAAGGAACACAATACAAGGGGGAAGTGTATCGCACAGCCTGGCATTAGAGTCTGTAGCAATGATGTACCAAAGAGGGATGAAAACCCAGTCCTGTGTCATGCTGAGCACCTTCAACGAACTTCAGTGGAAGCGGCGTTTACGTGCCACCTTACTGAAAATCTTATCTTCTTCCAGGATCAACCTCTACACATAGATGTGCCCACTGCAGTCTATACAAAGGAACAGCTGGCTGTGCCACCAGATGGCTATTGGGATATGTACACTCTATGGCATGTCAGCAATTTGCTCAGCCGTGTGCAAGCAAGGGGTGTCAGCTGAGTCTGTGGCCAGCCAAAGAGAAATGGGGAGGCTTAGTAGAACTGTTGGGAAGCAATGAGAAAAGTAGGGGCAGTAGGGTGGGGCAAGTTTGTTTCCCTGTAACATATGACATACCATTTGATAAGATTTTAAAGCAATTTGTTTTCTCCATTTCCACCCATCACATGCCTGCTCCCAATTCCTCCTCTACCTTGTCACGCAGTGTGCGATATTGTGCTGGCTCTTCACATCTTCCTGTCACTTTTGCATGCATGAACACACTGTCATGCTCTTTCTCTTCATCCTTTATCTCACAAACACACTGAGGAGCAATCACACTCCCAGGGCTAGAGCTGCAGGCTGCCTGTAGGTTCAGGCAGACATCTTTGCATTCGATACACTTGGGTATCACAGTTTTCTTCACAACCATAAGGCAAGGACATTACTTTTAAAATGTAAGTTGAGGTTCTGGGAGCAAATTCAGCAGTTCCAGGATCACAGAGCATTGGGGGTGGAGGGGAAGTAGGTGCACGTGGGCCATATCCGAGATTCTAGTAGAAGAGGGAGGTAACTTATATCTCCAAAATAGATCTGAGGGTATGTCTACACTACCCCGCTAGTTCGAACTAGGAGGGTAATGTAGGCATACCACACTTGCAAATGAAGCCCGGGATTTGAATTTCCCGGGCTTCATTTGCATAAGTGGGGAGCCGCCATTTTTAAAACCCTGCTGGTTCGAACCCTGTGCAGCGCGGCTACACGGGGCACGAACTAGGTAGTTCGAACTAGGCTTCCTAGTTCGAACTACCGTTACTCCTCGTGAAATGGTAAATGGTAAAGGGTGCACTTCTGTGGAGGAGGCACAGAGTCTGGGACGGCGGGTGGGGTGTAGAAGGGAACTAGGGATAGAGGATTGGGGTGCAGGAGGGAGTGTGGGATTTGAGAGGGAGTTTGGGTGAAGGAGGGGGGTTATGATCTAGGGAAGAGGCTGGGGTGCAGGATCCAAGAGGGGTTGTGGGTACAGAAGAGGATTATGGCCTGAGGGAGAAGGAGGAGAGGGGGTGCAGGATCTGGGAGGCAGTTGTGACCTGGAGGAAGTGGGGAGATGGGATACAGAGGGTTTGAGTGGTGGTCTGGGGCAGGTAGTTGAGGGGGGGAGTGGATGGGGGGCCAGAGACAGGCTCTGTCTGGGAGGCACTTACCTAGGTGTGTGTGGGGCTGGGGGGAGGCTGCTCCACGTGGCTTTGCTCCAGCACATGGAGGGAGGGAGGAGGCTTCATTTACTGCCCCTGCTTTCAGCAAAATTTCTCAGGTCCCACTGGGCAGAAACTGGCCAATGGGAGCTTGGAGATTTTGCTAGGGTGCAGGGACAGCGTGCAAAGTTTTCTCCTCCCTGCCCAGCTTGCAGAGCAGTTACCAGCCTGCTGTTTAAAGTGGCTGCAGCTGCTCTGTAGTAGGGATGTAATAATGTAATCGATTAACTGATTAAACGATAAGCAAAAGCTTATAGGTTAATAATATAACCTACACACATTTCCCCTCCTCCCCCGCCAGTAATTTTTTTAGCAGGCTGTCTAGCCAGCTTGTGACACGTCCAGGACCAACTCTGCATGTAAAGTGTATTAGGAGTCAGACGGGCAGGCAGTCTGGCTCAGTTTTGGCTTGCACCGGTCCAGGAACTCAGACCCCCCTGGACAGGGGCTGCTACACAGGCAGCAGCATGGGATGGCATCAGAGGCAGCAGTGCAGGGTGTCAGACAGCTGGTCTGTGAGAGGAGCTGGTTTTTAAACTGGCTTCCCTCATGGACCAGCTCCCACCTGGCACCCACGCTGCTGCCTCTGATGCAATAGAATAGTCGACTAAACAATAAGAATTCATGAGGATAATCGACAATTTTATGAACCGATATTTAACATCCTTAATCTGTAGTAAGGGTGCTGGCAAGCAGCTGCGGGCCAGATCCAGAGACTTGCCAGGCTGGATCCGGCCTGCTAGCCACCTCTTGCCCACCGTGGTACAGAGGCTGCAGTAAAAACTATAGAATTGATGCATAGCTGCTCTAGCCTGAGGGGGTAATGTGATCCTGTGCCACTCAATATATCAGACATGGAAGGTAGAAGTTGTACTCCCCCTGCTATAACCTATAGTCATTCTGGCTCTCTAGTCAAATACGATTATATGCATCTCTGCAGTAATACAGATGTGTATGTTTCCAAGCAAAAACACATTGGGAAGTTGAAATGAGTGCAAAGTACCACAGGAAAATTACCATGAGCTCAGCAAATACAATATGTATCCAGTTAAGAAATAAATATTCAAGAGGTGGAAAAACGATCAATATGGATGACCAGGGAAATAACAGGAGGAAATCAAGGCCTGGAGAAAGGCAGGCAAGACATATATAATTTATTTATTTTAAAATGTCTTTCCAGGGAAATTCCACTGAGAGCTAACATCTAATTTTCAAGGTGTCCCCTGGGATAAATCAGAAGGGTTAGCACTGAAAGTGAAGGCGTAGAATATGAAAGAAAGAGAAGGTAAGAAAATGATAAAGAAAGCTGAGATTGAAAATGAAAGGAAAATTTACCTGAGATGTGAAGATGAATAATAAATGCTTTTACAAATGTAAAGTATAAGGAGCAAGAGGTTGATGTGAGAAACCGCGGGCCCTTTGGGGAAATATTGAATGGAAACTGGTAATAGAAGATGGCAATATTGCTGTGAAACAGCATGACTTCTTTAAAGCAGGCAGATTGGCTTGGAGGAAGGGAAATATGAAAGAGAAATATAATTTAATGGCTTGTTGGTGTTGGGGAAGATGAGTTGTGTGCAGGGAAACTATTGAAACAGAAGTAACAATGAATGATGGAAGCAGAAATGACCCTAGGACAAACTCCGAAAACATAATGAAAACTGTCGAATATGATCTGCTGTCAGGTAGAAATGGACTTGAGCCAGAATTCCAGATCTGGTGTTTAGTTCTAGATTTGAACTTTGGCACTCAATAGAACTGGCAGAACCAAAACCCGTGTAGTGGCCGGGTTTATCATTTGTATTCAAATGCGGAGCTCAGGATGTAAAGATTCACTGGTCAGATTTGGAGACCTGCGAAGCTCTATTTTACCAAGCTGCAATCTTCAATCCAATTCCAAGGAGTGCTGGATCTGCGTATGCTTGGGAGCAAGTGGTTGATTTGAGCCCATCTTTAGTTTCAGCTTGAAACTTCAACAAACCACCATATTTTGCAGGATTTACACACTCCTCTGCACTAGTCCACATTTACTCACAACTTTGGCCATGCTCACTAGACGTGCGTGAATCAGCCAATCTGCCTGCAAACCTGGGGTTTTCTGACAAAAGTGTTGTACAGATGTGTACTAAAGGACTAACCTGTACCTCAGTGCCTATTTTTTTTAAAATCTGTATTTCAACATTTAAGGAGGACAAATCAGTTACTTCCAGAGGTGCCAGCCACCAGTAACTTCCATAGAAGTCAATGAGAACTGCTACTCATTTAGCACCGTAGAAAGTTAAATCCTTTTCATAGATGCCAAAATATTTATTGAGAGGCCTAAATTTAGAACACCATTTAAAAAAAATAGCCCACAAACCACAGATTTAATAAAAGGGGACGGAGAGTCTAGTTTCTCCTTGGCAGCCGGAATGGCTAAATCTTTCTTCTTAATTCCTTAATTTTTTGACAAAATCTGTGTGGCACCAGGAATGGATAAATCTTTCTTCTTAATTCCTTAATTTTTTGACAAAATCTGTGTGGCACCACTCTTGTGAACCTCTTGTGCTTGGGACAACCTCTTGTGTTTGATTTGAAAGAGTATGTAACACCTTAATTTTGGACTCCCGATGCTTGCTAGTGGCTGGCCCAATGAGAGGCCTATGGACTCCCTACAGATTAGAGAGATCTCCTTTAGGTCAAATGGTAGAGACTTGTGATTTTTGGAGATGAAACTCCCCCACTCCTCAACAGGGTTCTTGTCCTTGCCTGCAGGTAGGGGTATGTGTGAGAGAGTCTTCTAGTCCTGTGTACCTGTTAGCAGTATGCAATTTGTTAAAAAGTGACACCCATATTTTACCAAGCCTTTAAATAATGAATGCAGAAACCACAGCAGAAAGAGTTCTAGGGGTCATAGTGGCCAGAAGCTAAATATGAATCAACAACGTGACACTGTTTTTCGGGGGAGGAAAGGGGGAAAGAGCAAACATTATTCTGGGATGCATTAACAGTAATGTTGTAAGCAAGACATGAGAAGTCATTCTTCTGCTCTACTCTGCTGATTAGGCCTCAGTTGGAGTATAGTGTTCATTTCTAAGTGCCACAGTTCAGGAAAGAGGTGGGGAAATTGGAGAAGGTCCAGAGAAGAACAACAAAAATGACTAAAGGTCTAGAAAACATGACCTATGAAGGAAGACTAAAAGAACTGGGTTTTGTTTAGTTTGGGAAAGAGAAGATAGGGAAGGGACATGATAAAAGCTTTCAAGTACCAAAAAGGGTGTTACAAGTAGGAAGGGGAAAACCTTAACCTTTGATGATAGGACAAGAAACAATGGGCTTAAATTGCAGCATCAGACGTTTAGGTTGGACAAAACTTCCTAACTGTCAGGATAGTTAAGCACTAGAATAAATTGCCTAGGGAAATTATGGAAGTTTCTCTATTTGGAGATATTAAAGAGCGGCTTAGATAAACATATGTCAGGGATGATCTCTAGATTGTGCTTGGTCTAGTTGTAAGTGTAAGGAACTGGATTCGATGACTTCTCAAGATCTCTTCCAGTTCTAGTATCCTGTGATTCTATAGATGTGCATGTCTAACCTTTGAATTAGGAAAGGTTTGAGTCAGTAACTGGATGTAAAATTAGAGAATAATTCAACAGGTACAGACTGGTAAAAAAAAACCAAGCAAGGATTATAAAAGTGAGGTCATGGTTCACAAATCCAATTAACTTATTTAAGAAGAGATGAACAATAATAGCCAATGTGGGTAGAGAAACAGACATAATATATTTAGACTTGAAGAGAGCTTTGAGGTGTAATACCACCCAAAAGACAAATACATAAAGTTAGTAAATACAATATGGATGGCGAAGTTACACATTGGATTAAAAAAAAAAGGAGCTTAGTAGGAGAAGAGGGCTACTTAGCAAGAGAGGTTACGTCTACACTGCAACACTATTTTGAAATAACTATTCCGAAATTACTTAGTCCGCGTCCACACAGAAGGCAGTTATTTTGAAATAGTGGCGCTATTTGAAATAGTGTTAAAATACTGGCAAGCTGGAGGACTTCTTACTCTAACTCCTGCAACCCTCATTGTACAAGGACTAAGAAGTTGGAGGAAAAGTGCTCTATTTCGAAATAAGTGCTGTGTGGACACTCCTTATTTCAAAATAAGCTATTTTGAAATAAGATACACAATTGACATAGCTCAATTTGCATAGCTTATTTTGAGTTAAGCCCTGTAGTGTAGATGTGCCCATATTGACACTTGCTGTTAACAGTAATCTCAGGCCAGTCTGTACTAAAGAGAGGGGATGCTCATAACTGAAGTTCTAAAAAGCCTGGATGAAATAGGGTTTGACTGGTGGGTAGCTTATTTCAGTATCATGAAGTGTAAAGTAATTTGGAGTGTGTATAAAAATGAAGGAGGTAGGGGAAAAAAATTTAAGGAGGTATGGATCCTCCTTAAATTAACATAAAATACATAGGCTCAGTAAAGGAAACTAAGGGTGAACCATTAATTACTACAGATTTATTAATATTGACGTAACCTGGGGCCAATGGGCAGAAAATAAAAAGTATTACAATAAAACTTAAGAGCCAAATCCAATATTATACCCTATTGAAATCCTTGTAAATAAAGGTTAAGAGATATCATTAATATATAAACATGCCAGTTGCCTTTTCCTTATTTTAGCAGCTGATCAGGAAAATAAAGCCATTGCTTAGATCACAGATTTACTGTCAGTTCCTAACAAACACTCTGTTTTCTGAGAGGTCATGAAAAAAGGCACCCAGGACAAATGCATGGAAAGCCATTTTGACCTCAAAAGGCAATGCAAATTACAGTGTAATAAATAATGGGGTAGCTCTTCCATCTGCCCTAAACCACATGGACAGAGGCAATTGCTTTTCTCAATTCCAGCATATCAGCCTTCCTAGGAACTGTCTGCATGGATTGGAAATGGCGAGCAGTAAACACCCTCCTTAGTGTGTTAATATACAAACTGTCTAAATATTTGGCTTGCTCATGAGTCTTTTTAACAAGAGGAACCCAAGGTGACATATTTGAAACAGAAACGACGGCCATATCCAATTGCTTATGAATACCCTCTAGTCTCGATTATGAATTTCACATTTTTAAACTTAAAGCTAATCATTTCTGATTCTCAGAAACCTAGAGATTGCAAAGAATTTTGAATCTGCTCTAGCCAAGGGAATTATGTGAGAGAGTCCTGCTGAGCTGTCCCTCAAAACATAACCTTGGCAAATGCTGTGGATGCATACTATGAATACAAAACCAAAAATTAATATTATGATCTTGCACTTTGGACAGAATAAAATGCAGGTCTCTGAGCTCTGAGAAGCGCAACTAGGTTATTATTTAGGAGACCAAGAATCTTCCAAAGACATTTGTTTTGAATCACATGCAGTCCTAAGGGATAATTCCATTCCCATATTTTTGAGCCATACAAAATTTGAACCATACTTTTGGCTTCAAATAAGCTAAGGGCTGGTGCAATTAAATTGCCCCCATAAATTGAGATAAATTGTAATACAGCTTGCATTGGCTCTGAGATCTTCTCTCTTGTTACCTGAATGTTTATCCTACAGACCATTTTGTGAGAAACAGACTAACCAGGTAGGTGGAAAGAACTTACTTGTTCAATATTTTGCCCATCGAGCCTCTATTTATGTAACCTCTGTCTCTGCTTAAACACAATTATTTTAGTTTAGGAATAATTTATCAAGAGGCCCTTCCATTGACAGTTTTTAATTTATACTTCAGTCCCAAAGGAGTTTGTATCATCTGCATATAAGAAAACAGACACTGGTGATTCATGATTTTAGGGGGGAAACACTAAACTCCTTTTAATTCTAAAACAACATCATTGATCTAAAAACTAAAAAGAAAATAGTCTAAAAGACAGTCTTCTTATATCCCTTTTAACTGGTCAGTATCAATTAATTCCCCTTTCAGACCTATTCTAATCTTGGCTGCTATGAAGAACTCTTGAGAAAGTAACTAGGGATTTATTCCAGCAATCTCCAATTTGTCCCCCAGATGGTCCCTATCAATAGAATCAAAGGCCAATTTTAGATTAAGAAAAGCTGCATATAATTTCCCCCCCTTAGGAGATGAATATTTTTAGATCAAATAAGAAAGTATAAAGCAGCTATCTACAGTGGAATCTTTGGAAGATTTTTGGTCTCCTAAATAAATTACTTTTTCCTGCCCAATCTTCTAGTCTTTCCAAAAGATATCAAATGTAAATTTTTAAAGCAATTTTGAATAACCTAATT